ATTATTAATTATTACTACTATTTTTGCTATTATTATTATTGTTTTTATCATTATTATTATTAAATGTTATTAAAACTACAGAGTCGTAATAGAGATTTATGGACAACGATTTGGAGCTTGCAACATGAAAAAGAACATAATAGTGGAATTCGTTTTACTCGCAGCACACAATCTGAGAACAGAAATACTCGATGGCTTTATCGGCATAAATACAGGTATGACTGATAATTTTACGATAAATTTATTCATAAATTTATAAATTTGGATTTATGAATTCATTTATATGAAATTCATTTAAATATTCATCGATTCATTCAAAAATGAATAATAGTAGAAAGAAAAAAAAGTAAAAATAAATGCATTAAATCATTTATCAAAAAAAAACAATTTAGATGAAAAATTTTGAAAGTTTTCAAAATAATTGAACAAATCATTGGTAGGGTCAAATTTTCAGATAAAAATAAATATTATTAGTGTTATTTACAATATTGACAATAAAATATTTAATAATGGTTAAATTAAAATTTTAGCGGTGTTGTTTCGAATCCAAATACAAATTCTTTCGTGCCAAATCAGATGAGATTACAACGAGCATACGGTAATGATGGATATGATGGTGATGAAATAAAGAAATCAACTACTCATGATAGTTATGATGGAATTTATGATAACCATCTAAAAAAAAAGATGAAAGCTGAAAAATGTCAGTTAAAACTTTGGATTAATTAAGCAATAAAAATCAGCTTTAATAAAGTTTTTGATTGTTATTAATTTTCAAAAATTTAATTTTAGGTTACATTCATTTTAAGTTTTAACTTTTCTAATTTTATTTTCCACCTTACTCATTTAGATTTTTTCCACTTTTTCTTCTGAAATTTGATTTTTTAAAACATTCGGGAAATAAATTGAATATTTGTGGGAAAATACGAAAAAATTATGAAAATGAAAAAATTTGAAAATGGAAAAAAATTGTAAAAAGTTGGAATTCAACGAAAAATTGAAATTCAATAAATTAAATTATTTGATTAGTCTGGGAATCAACGTTTAGTTTCTAAAATAGAATTTGAACGGAATACTACAAGTCAACACGACCACTTTAGGTTCTTGTCAAATGGGAGAACCTGGACTACCTGGCCAACCTGGTATTGATGGCGAAAATGGTCTGGATGGTCAACCAGGACGAAATGGAATACCTGGAGAAAGTTTGTTTTTATTTTTATTTCGTTAATAAACCTTTTTTTTCCAGTGCATATGTAATTATAAATATATTTATATTTAGATTCTGAACAAGATTATTCATCGCAAATAATGGAACCATGCATCAACGAATGTGTACCAGGACCTCCTGGTCCAGCAGGACTTCCCGGTGATAAAGGTCCCAGAGGATATGCGGGTGAAACAGGTGAACCAGGAATCCCAGGAAAACCTGGAAAAAAAGGATTACCAGGAAAACAAGGACCAAAAGGTCCATCAGGAATAATAGGTATGTTAGAAACTTTTTTTTCCCAACATTGTAAATTATAGATAGCAAGTAATCATATGTAATAATGAAAGTAATTGTAATTAGTGACCAAAGAACATTGTGAAATCTTCCAGAAAATTCCCATGTTTAATTGGAAAATTAGAAATATGCAAATGAGAAAAAAGTTGCATTTGTTATATTTTGTTATCGGTGATAGAAAGCAATAAAACATATCAGTGAGATAAGTGATTGTAAATTTCAGGACGAAGAGGAAATAAAGGAGAAGCGGGAAAACTTGTATCTAGTATAGGATTACCTGGATCACCTGGTCGTCCCGGTGAAATGGGACCGCCAGGAATATCAGGACCACCTGGTGAAAAAGGACAACCTGGAGAAGAGGGTGTAATGGGAGCACCAGGTGATGAAGGTAGTGCAGGTTCGTTTTCTCGCCTATTTCAAAATTTATTTCATCGAAATTGAGAAGGGAAAAGAAAAAAACGAAAAATTATTTTTATTTTATTCTTCAAGGTTCATATGGAAAGCCAGGAATACCCGGTGCACCAGGACCAATTGGAGAAGCAGGCGCAAATGGTAGTTGTGATCATTGTCCAAAACCACGATTACCACCTGGTTATTATTTATAATCAAATCGAAAATTACTTCAAATTAATATTCTATGACTCAAATTTATTCCAATTTTTTTTAAAATTATTTGTAAAATTTTCGACAGTATTTTGTCAACATTTTGTGTAATGTATGTAAGTATATGTATATTCAAAAATATTAATAAGTCATTTTTGGCTGAATAATATTAAATGAATGTTAAATGATAAAAACGAATATTAATTTCTTTTTCCTTTCAAAGAATCAGCTCAGAATTGTGTGATTTTTTTTTTCTTTCTCTGAAATATAATAGTAATTATTTGATAATAAATTTTGCAATTTCAAACTTTCGTATTTGCTTATTGCACAAATTATACAAAATTCAAAATTTTAAATTAAAAAATTCAAAAAAAAATTTCAGAATTAATATTTCATAACATTTTATAGTTTATAATTTCAAAATAATAAAATAAACGGATGAATTTTTGTTGAAACAATTAAAAATTGAATTGGAATTAAAATAAATGATTTTTTAATAGCTCACTTTCTTTTTTTTTGTTTCGATCAAATTAATCAATATTGCTATCCAGAAAAAAATACGAAATGATAATAGAATTTTGCTGTTAAATTAAATTTTAATTTAATATTTAAGTTTTTAAATTTTACTTCATAAATATAAAGTTAAAACTGGAAATCTAAAATGGAAAGTATTTAATTGTGCTGTAAATTTTTAACAAATTTTTGAAATCCGTTAGGAAAGGATGCCAAATTTAATTTTTTTACTGTAACGGACAAATTCTCTGCTAATTATTTTAATTTTTTTTCTTTTTATTCAATCGAAATTATTACTACTTCAATCCATTTAAATAATTCAACAAAAATGAAAAGAAAAAAGATTATGTCCTAACAAAAAATGTTGCTAATTATTCTTTAGCCTATTGATTAAAAATTTAATTTAAATTTCAATCAGTAAGTTGGAATTAAAGTTACTGGTTTAAAGCAAATGCATTTCTGGCACTTTTAGCATCTATCAATTAATTTCTTCTTTAAAAAAACAAACAAACGAACAAATAAACAAATAAATAAATAAATGAACAAAATATTTAATTTTTTGTTGTCGTCAAGAAAATAAATCAAAATGTATATGTAATTTACGTGCAATATTCTAATGAAATATGTAAAATTTTTTCTCAACATTATATTTTCAGCAATTTAAATTTAAATTTATACAATAACTCATTAAAATCTAAAATTTCAAAATAATTTACGCAAGCATTAAACAATAATTATTTGCAACCATTCACAAAATTGTAAATTAAAAACACGAAGAATTGAAATTAATAATTCAATTTGAAAATAAATTACTCATGTAAATATATTTGTTGAGGAATGCAATGCAATCAAATTTTTATAAATTTCCCTAAATATTTAAAGTAGTACTTTTTCTTTATTTTCCTTTTTTGCAGAAAAAAAAAAACAAAATATGTTCATTCGGAAAAAATTTCGATTAATTTCAAAAATTCGAGCAAAACTTTTTGCAAAAAGTTATAAAAATGTTCAATTTTAGAAAATACGAATTTTTACAAAAATTATTTATGCAAACAAAAAAAAACTAAGGATCAAGAATTTGAAATGACTAAATTTGAATTTGAATTGTAACTAACTTTTAAAGCATTAATGACACATATAAGCAAATGAATTAATCAGCAGTATTCTTGGTTTAAAAAAAAAAAAACTTAATGAAATAGTTTTAAGTATAATTTATAAGCATATAGTAGTAATACGATAGTTTATTCCAGGATAATATTGAAAAAAAAAAACCGGAAAGAAAAAAAAGGGGAGTAATACTAATAGCTATTTGTTTGCTAATTATGCTATAGCATAAATTAATTTGTTAAAATTAAGCTAATAATGATTGAGATTAGTAAAACAGATTTGCAAAAGTTATTTTTTAAAAGTTTAAAGATTTGAAAATGTTGAAATTCGAGAAAATTTTAACAGATTTGTATAAGGCTAATAAAATATAAAACTTTCTAAATGCATATATTAATATAGAAGTAAGAGATTTATTTTTTCAAACCTATTCAATAAGATTGTTTATCGCTGACAAAATTTTCTTCGTTTTTTTTTTTTGAATTAAAATTTAAACATAGCAAACAAACGGATAGAATATTGAATAAGAACTATTGAATATGGGTGGTAATAAATTTAAAGAAATAAAAAAAAAAAACGAAAATCAAATTCCGAAATGATATTTCAAACCGGTCTTATTGATTCACATCAAATAATAACCGGCAAATGTTTAATTACTCTCATTTAACATTTTTGAACCTAAGTTTTGAATCATTTTTATGTTCGTATCACGATTAAATAGTTTTTAAGTGTTAGGATGATTAAAAAGAAATGGAAAAAGAAAAACCAAAATATGAAATATAAAAATCAAAATAACAAAATATAAAAACAAAAAAAACCAAGATTTAAACGGTCAAAATAGAACCGAAACATGAATTTAAAATTTCAAATTAATAATTTGATTAAATTAATTAATAATTTGATCAAGTTAGATAATTAGTTTCCTTAGCATATCAAATTATCATAACCATTTTGGCTTTTTTTTTTCCAAATTTTCCATTTGTAAATTTTTAACAGAAGAAATTAAATGAGTAAGAAAAACGAAAATTTTTCGTAAAAACATTCTACTAAATTGATAACTGATAATTACATGCAAATGAAAATTTGCCAAACAATTTCAAATCATTTCAAATTCAAATAAATAAAACAAGAAAATTTCATTATTATCAGTGGTGATAAATGATTAGCCTTGGATTTTATTGATAAGCAAATATGAGTTATCAATTATCAAAAAATATTTATATGTTAAATTTTCAAAATTAAAATCCTTAAAAGTTTCCATTGGTGGATTTTTGGCAGAGGAAATTAGTTGTATAATAAAGACGGAAATTTTTAGTGAAAACATTTTGATAATTGCTAATAAATAAAAATTCCTTCTTAAAATTAATTTCTATTCATTAATACAGCCTTTCAAAGTTTCATTGTCAACAGTATTTTAGCAATTGTTCCAAAATAAAATTTAATAATTGTCACATGTCGCCAAAATCAAACTAAAATTTTTTTTTTTAGTATAACAACGATATTGACACAAAATTTTCAAATAAATTCTTTTCCTTTTTTTTT